AGACCAGTGGGACAGAACAGAGTCTAGATATTAATCCAAACATATACGGTCAATTAATATATGACAAAGAAGCCACGGACATACAATAGGGAAATGACAGCCTCTTCAGCAGCTGGTGTTGGCAAAACTGAACAGCTACATGTAAGAGAATGAAACTGGATCACTGTCTAACCCCATACACAAAAGTAAATATGAAATGGATCAAAGATCTGAATGTAACTCATGAAACTATAAAACTCTTAAGAAAAAACATAGGCAAAAAACTCATGGACATCAACATGAGTGACTTCTTCATGAACATACCTCCCCGGGCAAGGGAAACAAAAGCAAAAATGAACAAGTGGGACTATATCAAACTAAAAAGCTTCTGTAAAGAAAGGACACCATCAATAGAACAAAAAGGTACCCTACCGTATGGGAGAATATATTCATAATGACAGATTTGATAAAAGGTTGACATCCAAAATATATAACGAGCTCACACACCTCAACAAAACAAAAAGCAAATAATCGAATTTAAAAATGGGCAGAAGAGCTGAACAGACATTTCTCCAAAGAATAAATTCAGATGGCCAACAGACACATGAAAAGATGCTCCACATCGCTAGTCATCAGAGAAATGCAAATTAAAACCACAATGAGATATCACCTCACACCAGTAAGGATCGCCACCACCCAAAAGACAAACAGCAGCAAACGTTGGCGAGATTGTGGAGAAACGGGAACCCTCCTACACTGCTGAAGGGAATGTAAACTAGTTCAACCATTGTGGAAAACAGTATAGAGGTTCCTCAGAAAGATCAAAATAGAAATACCATTTGACCCAGGAATTCCACACCTAGGAATTTACCCTAAGAATGCAGCAGCCCGGTCTGAGAAAGACATACGCACCCCTATGTTGACTGCAGCACTATTTACAATAGCCAAGAAATGGAAGCAACGTGAGTGTCCATCAGTGGATGAATGGATAAAGAAGATGTGGTACATATACACAATGGAATATTATTCAGCCATAAGAAAGAAACAAATCCTACCATTTGCAACAACATGGATGGAGCTAGAGGGTATTATGCTCAGTGAAATAAGCCAGGCAGAGAAAGACAAGTGCCAAATTATTTCCCTCATTTGTGGAGTATAGCAATGAAGGAAAACTGAAGGAACAAAACAGCAGCAGACTCACTTACTCCAAGAAGGGACTAGTGGTTATCAAAGGGAGAGGTGGGAGAGGGCGGGTGGGGAGGGCGGGAGAAGGGGACGGAGGGATATTATGTTTAGTCCACATGGTGTGGGGGATCATGGGGAAAACAGTGTAGCACAGAGAAGGCAAACAGTGACTCTGTGGCATCTGACTACACTGTTGGGCGCTGACTGCAATGGGGTGTGGGAGGAACATGATAACATGGGTGAATGTAGTAACCATATTGTTTTTTCATATGAAACCTTCATAAGATGTATATCAATAATACCTTTAAAAAATAAATAATACTAAAGTCACTTAGAGGTTTAAGTTTTCCTAAGCATAAAAAAGAAAAAAAAAAGAAAACCCCAAGGATTCCTCAAAAAACTGTTAGAACTAATAAATAATTTCAGCAAAGTACCAGGATATACAGTCAACACACAAAAATCAGATGCATTTCTATATATAAACAATAAGCAATCTAGAAAGGAAGTTACCGTTAAAAATCCATTTATAATAGCACCAAAAAGAATAAAATACTTAGCAATTAACTTAACCAAGGAGGTGAAAAACTCATACAATGAGAATACAAAACACTCTAAAGGAAATTAAAGAAATGGACCCACCCCATGTTCATGGACTAGAACACTTACTGCTGTTAAGATGTCAATACCACCCAAAGTGATCACAGAGTCAATCCAATCCCTATAAAAATCCAATGGCATTTTTTTTCAAATAGAAAATCCATCCTAAAAATTCACATGGAATCTCAAAGGACCCCAAATGGCCAAAAAAATCTTGAAAAATAATAAAAAAGTTGTAGGACTCACACTTCCTGATTTTTCCTGATTTCAAAACTTACTACAAAGCTACAGTAATCAAAAGAGTATGGTACCAACATAAAGACAGACATAGACCAATGCAATAGAATAGAGAGTCCAGAAGCAAACCCTCACAACATGGTCAAATGATTTTTGGCAAGGGTAGCAAGGGAATTCAATGGGGTAAGGACAATCTTTTCAACAAACGGTGCTGGGAAAATAGGATGTCTACATGTAAGAAATGAAGTTAAACCCTTATCTAACACTATATACGAAAACTAACTGAAAATGGATCAAAGACTTAAATGTGGGACCTAAAACTATAAAACAAAATAAAATAAAAGATTAATTAGAATTCATGAACATTTTTAAATTTTGTGCGTGGAATGACTCTATCAACAGAGTAAAGCCAACCCACAGAATAGGAAAAAATACTTGCAAATCCCTGATAAGGGATTAATATCCAGAATAGATAGAGAACCCCTGAAATGCAACAACAACAAAAAAAAAAAAACAGATGCAAAATTGGGCAAAGGGCTCAAATAGACATTTCCCTAAAGAAAAAATACTAGCCAATAAGTACATGCAAAGGGGCTCAACATCCCTCATCATTAGGCAAATGCAAATGAAAACAGTAAGATATCAAATCAAGTGCATTAGGATAACTACTGTGAAAAAATAATGATAATAACATAAATTGATAAGGATGTGGAGACATTAGAACCATTGTGCACTGCTGTGGTAATGTGAAGTGGAATAACCACTGTGGAAAAGAGTATGGAAGTTCCTCAAAAATTGAAAATAAAATTACTATTGTTAGGCTGGAGGAAGGAAAAACAAGGCCATGCAAACAGAACAGAGAGATGCCATAGGGGGAGAACAGACCAGACCCCAAGGTCCGTGCCTTATATGGGAAGGGGACAGCTCTTCCTGAATTCCATCCTGATGTGCCAACTAAGACCCAGGTGTCAGCCTCCTCCTTCTTGGAAGGAAAAAAGTTTCTAGTTGTCTATCATGTCACCTGTAGCCAATCATACCTCTCCACGCCCCCTGGGATAGCTTGCCCACTCCTCCCCCTCCTAACCCCTTACCTCCCTGACCGGGTGTGACTTCCCTGGCCTGTAGTACCCAGACCGCGGAACATCACCCGGGAGTTGCACTCAAATAAACTACCTGGCCCTTTGTTGCCCCTTTGCCTGCTTATTTCGGCTAAAATTTATCTTACAACTGTATTACCAAAAAATTCCACTTCTGGGTATATACCCCAGAGAATTAAAAGCATACTCTTGAAGAGATATTTGTTCACCCACATTCATGCAAACATTATTCACAGTAGCTAAAACAAGGAAGCAATCTATGTGTCCACCAATAGGTGAATGGATATGCAAAATGCGGTATATACATATAATGGAATACTATTCTGCCTTTAAAAGGAAGGAAATTCTTAACACCCACTTCTCCAAAGAAGAAATCCAGATGGCCAACAGACACAAGAAAAGATGCTCCACACAGCTAATCATCACAGAAATGCAAATTAAAACCACAATGAGATACCACCTCACACCAGTTAGGATGGCTGCCATCCAAAAGACAAACAACAACAAATGTTGGCGAGGATGTGGAGAAAGGGGAACCCTCCTACACTGCCGGTGGGAATGTAAATTAGTTCAACCATTGTGGAAAGCAGTATGGAGGCTCCTCAAAAAATTCAAAATAGAAATACCATTTGACCCAGGAATCCCACTCCTAAGAATTTACCCTAAGAATGCAGCAGCCCAGTTTCAAAAAGACAGGTGCACCCCTATGTTTATCGCAGCACTATCTTCAATAGCCAAGAAATGGAAGCAACCTAAGTGTCCATCAGTAGATGAATGGATAAAGAAGATGTGGTACATATACACAATGGAATACTATTCAGCCATAAGAAGAAAACAAATCCTACCATTTGCAGCAACATGGATGAAGCTGGAGGGTATTATGCTCAGCGAAATAAGCCAGGTGGAGAAAGACAAATTCCATATGATTTCACTTATTTGTGGAGTATAAAAACAAAACCAAATGAATAAAAGTAGACTCATAGACACTGAGAAGTGACTGGTGGTCACCACTGCAGAGGGCTTAGGGTGTGGGGAGGGGGAGGGGAATAAGGGGGAAGAACAATCTCAGTCATGATGTAAGTTGGTCACAGGGATGGAAGGAGAGCATGGAGAATGTAGCCAATGATTCTGTCACATCTTCTCATGTTGACAGATAGTAACTGCGCTAGTGGGGGTGAGGATTTAATAGTGTGTGCACCTGTTGAATCACTGTGTCATATACTATGAGACCAATATATTGTATGTCAACTATACTTCAATACAAAAAATATGCTTAAGAAAAAAGAAAGAGAAGTGGTATTTATGCCATGCCCAATCTCAGCCATGCCCAATCTCAGCTCTGTTGTGATTTGGTAAAACCTGATGTCCTATTTAAGGGGTAGGCCAGCTGTGTCTTTGTGTAAGTAAAATTTGATTGGAATACAAAATTAGAAATTAAAAAATATTTTTAATTAAAAAAAGAAGGAAGGAAATTCTGTACAACATGGGTGAACCTGGAGGGCATCATGCTAAGTGAAATAAGTCAGCTACAAAGACAAATTCTGTGTGATTCCCACTTACATGAGGTTAATGCTTAGTGTAGTTTAATCCAAGGAGACAGGAAGTACACTAGCAGTTACCGGGGGCAGGAGGCAGGGATGTGGGATCATCGTTTCATGGGTACAGAGTTTCAGTTTTATAAGATTGAAAGTGTTAAGGAAATGGATGGTCATAACGGTTGTACAACATTATAAATGTATTTAATATCACTGATCTGTATGCTTTAAAGGGTCTAAGATGATAAATTTTGTAATGTGCCTTTTACCACAATGAAAACAAAATTTCAGGCAGGGGAAAGAAGGAGAAAATGTCACCCATAAAGAAAACTGAAATCCTTCAGGAAAATCTGGAATCTCTCACCTTTAGAAGAAACTGGTCACCTTCAGGGTGGAGCTGCACATCGGCTGGCCCAGGACTCAGGAGACCTGAAAGAGGTCCGACAGGAGCTTGGAGGGCAGCTATGCACACTAACAAAGCCCATTTTCAGGTCAGTGACAGAGTGCATGACTACTAGGAGCGCCTGGGGCTCCATGCCACCCTCCCAGACATACAGATCGCTGCTTCAGTTTTGCTTTCCAAAGCCTGTGTAAATTCCACTTATCACCAATCCTCATCTAGCACCACACAGAGAAGGGAATCCAAGCAATTTAGTTAGAGTTTAGTTAAGAGGACACAGACCAAAACCACCACAATCCACTCCTTGTCGACCAAGTGTCCTCTTTGGACCATTCTTATCTTCCAAATAAAAAAACATAGCAAATTAATCTTCCTCCTAACATAGTGAAATTGTCCCACATACAACTTAAAACATGAAATCTCTCCTCCCAAAAGAGAAGACAAAGTCCAATATATCACTTTAAATACCTTTGGGTGATGTGTCTTCTTCTTGATAAGTAGCAACCAACCTTGGATTCCCTGCGTCTTAAATTCTGAGCTGTGGTGAATCACCACTAACGAGACTTACATTATATAGTAGAGAAACGGGAGGTGGAAAAAAGAAAAGAATTGGTTAACATACAGACAAATTTCATTTCAAAATCAGGGACCCTGTTAGGATTCCACCGCCACCACCGGTCAATCCAGTCTTCCCTGTACGGCAGTCATGGCTTCCGCACACGCAGATTATAACCCTAAACTCTTGTGTTGGGCATTTGAGTCATAAAAACGGACTATTCCATGACCTTAAGATACATGAGGTCATGGACAATGGTCCAGAAAACTGATCTGTAAACTCCCCTGATAAGTCTAATTTTTGCTGTCCATGGTGCCGCCTTTTCCACAGGAGGCAGTGGCTGCGGTTGCTGTCCGTGGTGCTGCTTTTGTTTTTCTGTATAGCATCATTATTTTTTTAATAAACTTTGTTCTCTTAAGATAGCTTTAGGTTTGAGCAGCAAGTACAGAGTCTCCATATACTCCAGTTCCCCCATACACTCACAGTTTCACCTACTATAAACATTTTGCATCAAATGTGGTATATTTGTCACAATGCATCAAAATTAATTAATTGTCATTAACTAAAGCCCATAGTTAACTTTATGGTTTGCTCCTTATGCTTCACAGTTTTATAGATTTCGACAAATGTAAATTTCATCTGGACCCAGAAGCCTCAAGGCTGCTGTCTGTGGAGCTGCCTTGATCAGATCTGCTGTTGAAGCTGCTGTCCATGTAGCCACCATGAGTCACTGGGCTGAAGGGCCCATCTTCCATCTAGTCATTCCCCACCCACACCCCGCCCCCAGGTCCCTGGCAACTGCGGATCTTTTCACTGCCCCCCTAGATGTGCCTCCCCGATGCCGTGCAGTGGGATCGTATGGTATGTGGCCTTCTCCAGGCAGCTTCTTTCACTTAGCAACGTACATTTAAGGTTCCTTCATGTCTTTTTGTGACTTGATGGCTCTTTTTTTGACAAATTTCTTTTTTTTAACAGCTTTATGGAGATACCATTAATATATTAAAAAACTGCACAAGTTTAATGTATACATGAGTTTGAATATATGCATACACCTGTGAAGCCACCACCACCATCAAAGTAATAGACATGCCATTGCCTCAAAAAGTTTCCTCGTGCCTCTAGGGGTGTGTGTGTGTGTGTGTGTGTGTGTGTGTGTGTGTAAGAACAATTAATATGAGATCTTCCCTCTTAGTGAATGTATAGGTGTACATGCAATATTGTTAACTGTAGGCACTATGTTGCATAACAAATCCTAGAACTGACTCATTTTGCATAACTAGAACTTTATACCCACTGAACAACAAAGGAATCAAAGAATAATACTACACGAAAATCAACAAGGCACCAAGGAAGGTAGCAAAAAGGAAAAAGAGGAACAAAACAAGACAGAAAACTATTAGCAAAATGGCAATAGTCAGTCCTTCCCCATCAATAATTACTTTGAATGTAAATGGATTAAACTATCCAATTAAAATATAGAGAGTTGTGGATTGTGGACAGGATAAAAAACAAGATCCAACCAGGCACTGTCCAGAAGCAACTCATTTTACGTTTAAGGATACACACAGGCCGGAAGTACAGGAATGGAAAAAGATACCCCATGAAAACGATAAACAGGAGATAGCAAAGGTGGGTATACTCAGACAAAATAGGCTTTAAGTCAAAAACAGTCACAATAGACAAAGAAGGACATGATATAATGATGAAAGCATCAATTCATCAGGAAGAGATACTGCATTTCTTTTTATTGCTGAATGCAATTCCATCGTCTGGATGCACCATGGTTTATATATCCATTCACCCACTGAAGGACATAGTGGTTGCTTCCAAGTTTTGAAGTTATGAATAAAGCTGCTACAAACATCTGTGTGCAGGCTTTGGGGTGGACATAATAGGAATGCCATTGCTCGGTTGTATGATAAAGTCATGTTAGACTTTTAAGAAACTGCCAAACTGTTTTCCACACTGGCTGTGCCATTGTGCACGCCCACCAGTGAGGAGTGACAGCTCCTGCTGCTCCACATCCCCCCCAGCACTGGGATTGTCAGGGTTTTACTCTGTTTCTGGATTCCCATCCTAACAGGTATGCAGTGGTACATCGTTGTTTTAATTCGCGATCCCTAAAAACATATGATGTGCAGCATCTTTCCAGACACTTGTTTACCATCTGTCATTCTTTGGTGAGGTGTCTGTTCAGACACTTTGCCCTTTTTTTGTATTGGGCTTTTGTTTCCTTATTGCTGAATCCTGCATGTTTTGTTCTCTGCATATTTTGCACACAAGCCCTTTATTAAACATGAGCTTTACAGATATTTCTCCCAGTCTCTGGCCTGTTATTTTCATTCTCTCAACAGTATCTTTTACAGAGCAGACATTTTTCATTTTGATAAAGTCCAACTAATGAATTCTTATTTTCCATGAAATGTGTTTGTAATGTTGTCTCTAAAAACTCATTGCCTAAACCAAGGTCACCTAGACTTTCTCCTGTTATTTTTGAGAAGTTTCATGGCTTTGTGCTTTATATTTAGGTCAATGATCCTTGAGCTAATTTTCATGACAGGTGTAAGGTTCACACCTAGAATCATTTTTGTGCGTGGAGATATCCAGCTGCTCCAGCACCGTATGTTGAAGTGACCGCCCTTTATCCACTGAATTGCCTTACTCTAGCTATCCAGGGTGGACACCAGGAGAAGAGGCCACCGTTTGACCTGAGTTCCTTTGGTGCTTCTAGAATATTCTGTCACTAGGGAGGACACGAATTCAGATGGCCTAAAGCATCTAGAGAAAAACTATCTCTCACTTAGACTTCTGCACCCAAAGTGATGCCTGGGTGAAAGTGGAATAAAGACATTTCCAGACATGCAAGGTCTCAAAATTGTTCTTTCCAGGCATCCTTTCTCAACAAGCTAAAGCAGAGGGCCTTGAACTGCAACACTGGCTCTCCCGGGTCTCCAGCAGACTCTGGGTTGGTGGGCCTCAACGATCACGTGATCCTTATAATAACATGGTCCTCATATAATATATGTAATTGTGATTCCTTACAATGAGGCTCTTATATAGCCAGAGGTAGATGACATTGGGGCAGATACACATACACACGTGCATATAGGGACATATACATCTTATTGCTTCTGCTTTTTCCGAGAACCCAGAAAATTACACCCTGAAACACAATGGAATATTCTTCTAACTCAAAGGAACCAGCTGCCTCCAGACAAGATTGTTCCAGCTCACTTGGCACCATTACTGAACAGGGGATCAAAATGACACTGCAAAGCCAGCTCCAAGCTGAGCCCCAAGGTCTAGTGACATAAAGAATGTGTTTCAATACATATGACATGAAAATGCCAAGTCATAAGTGGTGGGTCTATTCACAAGGTAGCATTTTTCTTTCTAGATGGTACCTAACATAGTAGGGCATCGTAGAGGGAACAGCATCCTGGATATGAAGCATGAGGACTGTCACATACCTGCTAAGACACAGAGGAGAGCCAGGCAGGTGGTGGCACGTGGGCTTATGCTTGCTCTGTGGGCACTGACCACATGAGATGATCTTCCCTCTTAGTGAATGTATAGGTGTACATGCAATATTGTTAACTGTAGGCACTATGTTGCATAACAAATCCTAGAACTGACTCATTTTGCATAACTAAAACTTTATACCCACTGAACAACAAAGGAATCAAAGAATAATACTACACGAAAATCAACAAGGCACCAAGGAAGGTAGCAAAAAGGAAAAAGAGGAACAAAACAAGACAGAAAACTATTAGCAAAATGGCAATAGTCAGTCCTTCCCCATCAATAATTACTTTGAATGTAAATGGATTAAACTATCCAATTAAAATATAGAGAGTTGTGGATTGTGGACAGGATAAAAAACAAGATCCAACCAGGCACTGTCCAGAAGCAACTCATTTTACGTTTAAGGATACACACAGGCCGGAAGTACAGGAATGGAAAAAGATACCCCATGAAAACGATAAACAGGAGATAGCAAAGGTGGGTATACTCAGACAAAATAGGCTTTAAGTCAAAAACAGTCACAATAGACAAAGAAGGACATGATATAATGATGAAAGCATCAATTCATCAGGAAGAGATACTGCATTTCTTTTTATTGCTGAATGCAATTCCATCGTCTGGATGCACCATGGTTTATATATCCATTCACCCACTGAAGGACATAGTGGTTGCTTCCAAGTTTTGAAGTTATGAATAAAGCTGCTACAAACATCTGTGTGCAGGCTTTGGGGTGGACATAATAGGAATGCCATTGCTCGGTTGTATGATAAAGTCATGTTAGACTTTTAAGAAACTGCCAAACTGTTTTCCACACTGGCTGTGCCATTGTGCACGCCCACCAGTGAGGAGTGACAGCTCCTGCTGCTCCACATCCCCCCCAGCACTGGGATTGTCAGGGTTTTACTCTGTTTCTGGATTCCCATCCTAACAGGTATGCAGTGGTACATCGTTGTTTTAATTCGCGATCCCTAAAAACATATGATGTGCAGCATCTTTCCAGACACTTGTTTACCATCTGTCATTCTTCGGTGAGGTGTCTGTTCAGACACTTTGCCCTTTTTTTGTATTGGGCTTTTGTTTCCTTATTGCTGAATCCTGCATGTTTTGTTCTCTGCATATTTTGCACACAAGCCCTTTATTAAACATGAGCTTTACAGATATTTCTCCCAGTCTCTGGCCTGTTATTTTCATTCTCTCAACAGTATCTTTTACAGAGCAGACATTTTTCATTTTGATAAAGTCCAACTAATGAATTCTTATTTTCCATGAAATGTGTTTGTAATGTTGTCTCTAAAAACTCATTGCCTAAACCAAGGTCACCTAGACTTTCTCCTGTTATTTTTGAGAAGTTTCATGGCTTTGTGCTTTATATTTAGGTCAATGATCCTTGAGCTAATTTTCATGACAGGTGTAAGGTTCACACCTAGAATCATTTTTGTGCGTGGAGATATCCAGCTGCTCCAGCACCGTATGTTGAAGTGACCGCCCTTTATCCACTGAATTGCCTTACTCTAGCTATCCAGGGTGGACACCAGGAGAAGAGGCCACCGTTTGACCTGAGTTCCTTTGGTGCTTCTAGAATATTCTGTCACTAGGGAGGACACGAATTCAGATGGCCTAAAGCATCTAGAGAAAAACTATCTCTCACTTAGACTTCTGCACCCAAAGTGATGCCTGGGTGAAAGTGGAATAAAGACATTTCCAGACATGCAAGGTCTCAAAATTGTTCTTTCCAGGCATCCTTTCTCAACAAGCTAAAGCAGAGGGCCTTGAACTGCAACACTGGCTCTCCCGGGTCTCCAGCAGACTCTGGGTTGGTGGGCCTCAACGATCACGTGATCCTTATAATAACATGGTCCTCATATAATATATGTAATTGTGATTCCTTACAATGAGGCTCTTATATAGCCAGAGGTAGATGACATTGGGGCAGATACACATACACACGTGCATATAGGGACATATACATCTTATTGCTTCTGCTTTTTCCGAGAACCCAGAAAATTACACCCTGAAACACAATGGAATATTCTTCTAACTCAAAGGAACCAGCTGCCTCCAGACAAGATTGTTCCAGCTCACTTGGCACCATTACTGAACAGGGGATCAAAATGACACTGCAAAGCCAGCTCCAAGCTGAGCCCCAAGGTCTAGTGACATAAAGAATGTGTTTCAATACATATGACATGAAAATGCCAAGTCATAAGTGGTGGGTCTATTCACAAGGTAGCATTTTTCTTTCTAGATGGTACCTAACATAGTAGGGCATCGTAGAGGGAACAGCATCCTGGATATGAAGCATGAGGACTGTCACATACCTGCTAAGACACAGAGGAGAGCCAGGCAGGTGGTGGCACGTGGGCTTATGCTTGCTCTGTGGGCACTGACCACATGAGACTCTCACCGATCATGTGGCCTTGGAGTGGTCCTGCCACAAGGAGGTCGAGTGCGTGCGTTGGCTTGGCAGCGTGAGCCCCTCTCTACTTTTGGAGACAAAACATTGACTTCCTTTAAGAAAGAATATTGTGTTATCCAAGAGGATTTCACTTTGCCTGAAAGATTCATGGCTATTAGGGTCTGTTCCCACCATCCAGATGAATGTAACAAAGTTTGGCACACCAGGCAGGGGGCAGGCAGGCCAGGTAAGCACTTCAGACCCTGGTCATCAGAGGTCACACTCACACACACTTGGCTGGTCTTGACTGCTATGGCAACTAGGCTTGTTGCTGACCCAGGGAGCTGTATGCTCCACGGTTACTGGTCTGCCCTGAGCCCCAGGGCTGTATGCTCCACAGTTACTGGTCTGCCCTGACGTGGGGGCCATATGTTCGATGGTTACTGGCCTGCCCTGAATCCGTGGGCTTTATGCTCCACGGTTACTGGTCTGCCCTGACGCGGGGGCTGTATGCTCCATGGCTACTGTTCTGCTCTGACCCTGGGACTGTATGTTCCCTGGTCACTGGTCTGCACTGAGCCCCAGGAGTATATGCTCCACAGTTACAGGTCCACCCTGACCCCAGGGCTGTGTGCTCCATGGTTACTGGTCTGTCCCAAGCTGACACATGTGTCATTGCTACCACTTCTATGACATCTTGGTGAAATACCTCTGCAACACTGAGCCACTGTCCTAACAGGATCATGAAAATGCACATTCACCAAATTCTACCCCATTAGCAGGTCAAAGGAAGGACTGGCCTCAAAGCAGGGGGCTTCATAAAATAGGTTTCATCTGCCCTGTCCCCAGGCAGAAGTCACATAACAACAGAGCTCGGGGTGCCAAGAAATCTTGGAGCACCCAGCAGTTTGTCCCACATTCTCTTCTGGACTACATCCTTTCCCTGTACCACTAACCCCTCTGACTCTAACCTCCCCTGCCCCACACACCTTCCTCTGGGCTGTAGGTTCCCAGGGCCTGTCTGACATTACAGCGTCAGCACAAGGAGGACACCCAGTCTGAGGAAACCAGGGGCTCTAGACCAATGCCGGGCCTCTGGCCCATCCTGGGCCAGCTCCACCAGCTCCATCAGCAGCTTGTCTTGCTAGGGGCCCATGAGAATCCCAGCTCCTCCCCCTGCAAGCCCATAGTCTCCCACACTTTCCAGCAGCTCAATTCACCCACCATAGGCCACCCTGCCCCTCCCTGCTCCAGCACACGCAGCCCAGCACTGTACCAATGCCACCTGCTCACTGAGCAGCCTGCTGGGGCACCTTTGTGGGTCCAGGCCCAAGGTGAGGTCTGCTGCAGGCACCAGAGCCCCATCATGGGAGGCACCTGTAAGATAAATTTTAGCTGAAATATGCAGGTGAAGAGGGGCAACAAAGGGCCTGGTAGTTTATTTGAGCGCCACTGCCAGGTGATGTTCCGTGGTCTGGGTATCACAGGCTGGGGAGGTCACACCCGGTCAGGGAGGTGGGGGCTTATAAGGGGCTAGGAGGGGGAGGCATGGGCAAGCTATCCCAGGGGGCGTGGAGAGGTATGATTGGCTACAGGTGACATAATAGACAACTAGAAACTTTTTTCCTTCCAAGAAGGAGGAGGCTGACACCCGGGTCTTAGTTGGCACATCAGAAGGATGGAATTCAGGGAGAGCTGTCCCCTTTCCATATAAGGCACGGACCTTGGGGTCTGGTCTGTTCTCCCCCTATGGCATCTCTCTGTTCTGTTTGCATGGCCTTGTTTTTCCTTCCTCCAGCCGAACAGCATCATGCTGCAGGACTCGGGGAGTCAGTCCTAATGGCCTCCATTGTGCCCCATACATGGGCCAGAGGGGCAGCCCTGCATGGACTGATGCTACCCTGGTCATGAAGTTCTACTGGTCTGGGCAGGGGGTACTTTCTGATTCCAAAAACATAAGCCCATGAAGCTGGGATTTGGGGGATGAAAGACAGCCCTTCAGGATCCCCCACAGCCACCATCTGAGGGCCTTGCTCTGCGCATTGTGACAGTCACGACCAACAAGACACTTGAGAGAATGTAATGGGGACTGCTTGCTGACACAGGTATGAACTGAGTGTGGGGATCCCAGGGCTCTGAGGGCTGCAGATAGGCAACCAGAAAACATGTCCCTTTGAGGTAAGAATCACTTTGAGCTTCAGGCAATTAAAATTCCCCAACATCCACGCCCTCCCAGGAAGGGCAGGATGACCTCAGCCACCTGAGGCAACTCCCAACCCTCACCTGCTGATGATGGCACCACGAAGGCTGTGAGGCCGATATATCCACACTGGCTCTGCCAACACTCGCACCTGGCTCAAGCCCTTCTCCTCTGTCCCATCACACCCCAAAATAGTTCATGCTCCTATGTTACAGTGCTGCATAAACCAGGTCTGCTGACCCTGGAGGCACACATGGCTGAGTGCACCCCCACATTCGTGCAAGGCACATATGACTGATTTACAGGCTCAGCCAATTAACCTAAGGTGGGGGGAGCCTTGCTACAAGACTAAGTCCTTGCTGGACACAAAGGAGGAGGGCGGGGAGCAGGTCAAGGTCCCTGGAGGGCAGCGGCCATCTGCTCAAGGAG